ATATATATATATGTATATGATCGTATTCAAATGGTTGTGTACGGGAGTAAGTGAACCAGTAGCATGCTTTACATCCACGGTCTGAGGACCAGAGGTCTCATCCCAGATCGCACCTCGTTAATATCGCTATTCTGTCATTCTTCGCATAGGTTCAAACGGTACCTTCTTAGCCTGGGGTTGCAATATGGGCTCCTACAAAAGTAGACCCCGCAAGGGTCATCTTAATTCTAAACTTGCACCCAAAATTCTCTACGGTGATTCTAAGTTTGACGGGAGTCCAGGAAAGGTACTTGTATCCTCGAGCTCTTTGTTGATTTCCATTAACCACTTCATGAGCCTCGCAGAGGGTTCCGGGGTTACGGGTCTATGTATACGCACGCTTTCAGAGAGCTCCCATAAGAGATTCCAACAAAATTCTGAGGTGTAGTTACAGGACAGGTCAAGGTGGGGAAGTGGTGACACGAATAGAAGTAATTCGGAAAACCGCTGACACCCTCTTTAACCTTTTCCTGACCCTATCTACTCCCAAACGATCCCAATTAGTCACACAAAAAGAGGGCAACTGTGCGGACAAAGAAAATTGTGGAGAAGTACAGATTCACTAATGTCTGTTAGACAGGATGTTGGGTGGAAATAATCATTTGGGGAGAGGAGGTTTGGGAAAGAGATTAAAAACGGTGAACCTCTCCTCCTCTATGCTCCAAACAGTCTAGAAATCCTATTCGCTTAAGGGCTTCAGAAATCTAAAGGTAGAGGGATCTGTTTCCTAAGGTGAACTCCTATAGCGACAGTCCACCATAGTACCTACCCGAGCTAGTACAGTGCAGTTTCCAAGCCAAAGTCAAACTCATTCAGTATGTTTTCTAGTTCCTACACCGGGCGATTACGGTAGCCTGGAGAGTTGTGCTTATTTTGCTTTTTCGGCATTTCGCATTCCCTTATGTCAGCAGCGATCGACTCGTTGCGATATGGCGATAGAAAGTTTTTTGTCGAACGGATCGACAACGCTGCTGGGAGGTAGCTTTGGTCTTCGGGTGTCTAAAAGTTCATCTACCGTATCACCTACGGAGATCCCATGTGGGACGAGGGTTGGGCAGTGTCTCTGAGGCTGAGCTGGTCCGGCCGGTTACGCAACCTCGCAGCGCTCCATTGCCAATCGATCGATGCGACACCCGTCCAACCACGGTCCCATTCAAATTCCCAACGGCTTCACGACGTTTTTCCTTTCGTTTTCGTTTTCGTTCCGTTCGTTTTTCATTGTTTTCCTTTTGAATCGTTGTTTACATGGCTCCTGCTAGTTTCATGGCGAAATCAGGGCCAGTATCGGTCTCGGTCGCTTTTTTTCTCTGAAAATCATTGTTTTCCATCTTGTTGCTGCCATTGGCAATTCTTTTCTGTTTTATACAGCTTAATTGTTTCTTTAAATGTAGGGGTTCACTGCTAAGTATGGAAAATAGCAGTCCCGGTAAGCACAGACGCGTGAAACGATGTCTTTTCGGCAAACCGGACCCCAATCAGGTTTGTCTTTGTGCGCAGTAGAAGCATATATGAAGTAATTAGCTGTTTTATGGTTCTACAATCTAAATTTTATTGTTTTTTCTCGCTTGCCCACTGTAATGGTGGTGTGGCTTAATTGTAACCACTGTTTTTATTCGAACTTATCTTGTTAATTTACCAGATTTGGGGTAGAAACTTTTTAAGGAACCCCATAGGGTAACGGTTTTACGTATACCATTCGAAGACTTTTTCGCTCTGGAATTTGAGGTTGCATGCTCACCTTGCTTTTATCTGGATGTTGAATCTTCAACAAGTTCTAGGTCCAACCCTGCCAATCTCTTTTGTGGAACGGTTTGAATACTCTGCCTAAGATCAAGCAACGATTTTCAATGAATGCTTTCCTCCCGAACAGCTATGGCGCAATCTTGCTGGCCGTTTTGCCGTGCCATTGTTCCTTGAGTTTTATTCTTATAAGGCAGATTTCGATGAAGGGTAGTTTTCACGTTCGTCTCGAGGTTCTTTCAATCTGGACGCACGCATGTTGTCGTACATCCGAGTAAGGCTTTGTAACCGTGCGTTTTTTCCAGCGATAAGTTTCCTGTCTCTGTGATCCATAATTAGTTGCGTGACTAATTCTGAATGTTTTCTCACATACGATCCCACCCGATTTCACGGTTAGGTAATCGTCAGTCCAAGAAGGAGATTCGTGAATGGTACCCATTACGAGGACGAGGATGTCCCCAAACCTGTTGTTGCCCATACCGGTTCTTAAGCATAAGCTTTTTTTAAACTAGCTTCTCTATTAGGACCCCGGGAATCTAGAGCGCTTTCTGTTTATTATCAAAGAATGCTTTATGCAAGTACCCTTTATTGGAATAGGACCGTCCGACATTTTCACCCCGTTTTCCAAAAAGAAATCACCAACAGTGAAAAAGTTGAATAGTCTGAAAATTCCCAAGAAACTGCACAAATGTGGCTCTTTTGAACTTCAGGTGGAGAACTGGCTCTCAGATACATCAGAAAAGCAGTTGAAGAACAGCCGGGAAAAGTGGAGTTATGATTTTAAACTGGACAAGCCAATCAGTGGTGATACTGAATATGAAATGGTCCCTGCAGAAAAGGTAGCCGCTTGTTCAATTAGATTAAGTACTTTTTCTTTATGCCGTTTAGAATTCTTTTTTATCAGGTGCCGTCCGTTTATAAACCGCGTGTTCATGGGAGAAAGAAGACGCGGAGAGTTGCGGAGTTTGACCCAGACGTTCCTTCAGCGTCTAGTGAAGAAGCCAAAAGTGAAACTGATGCTGTCATTCATCGGCCTCTTACACGGTGAGATTATAAAAGAAAGGTTATGGGGAGAAGGATGCTTTGGTTAACACTTTAAAGTTCCTGAATTTTATTGGCAACGTTTTTATTGTCGTGCTTGTAGCATATATGTACACGTGGAGATTGTCATGGAATGGGAAAATAGTCAATTAGAACGCTGTATTAGTTGTATGATAGAATATGAGCAAGAGGAAAAATGCATTATTAATGGCATCTTTTATTTTCTAATCGCTTTGTATTTGTTTTCGTAATTGCTATTTTACAACTTTTTAAAGTTCTCGTTCAGATCCTGCACGAAACATCTTGGCGAAAATAATTCTGAAAGTACGCGAGGACTGAAACAAGCAAAACTCACAAGTGAGTTCATAGTTGTAAAACAAACATATTCTCAACTTTCTTTGTATTTGGATTCGTTTTTCCGGCTTATTTCTTACAGTAATGGTGGCTTTTATCGTGGGAAATTTTGTTTTACTCGTTTTTGCCTGGGTCCTGATTCAACAATATATGGCTTGGCTCCTTTTCGAAGTCTAAATTATACACTATTGTATATACATACTTACTGTAATCAAACCTCTTTGCGCCTCATTGTTTATATATGGTCTCTTCTTCTGAGCGGAACATGTGCTTCTATACAGATATCGTATACCAGATTGCCTGTTCTGCTGCATCGCAGTTTTGAAATGATTCACTGTCGTAAAGTTTTGCTTCCCTTTTAAAAACAATTCAAGCGCTGCGATTCTACTGTACGACACCCTTCAAGGGGACTTTCGTAATCGCAATTTCATGACACTTTTGCCTATTCCTTACCTGCAACCTGGTGTTGTTAATTTCGTCGTAAACCCGTTTTAGGCGCCAGGTGTTTTGCCGTGTAATGCTGCTGTCTGTTATGCGATATTCGTCAGGAAATTTATGTATTCATAAGACGCACTTCTTGTGCCCGTGTAATTTTGCGTCTCGGCTGACCTTTGGAGGTCAGTAGTGGTAATGACGGGGTAGATGGTTATATTCAAGGACGAGCGTGAAGAGCAGTCATTACTGTGTGTTGACCGTGGTTGGGACTACTCGAGTAGTTATTCAAAAAGAGAATCGATATGCATAAGGGATCCAGTCGCACTAATAGAATGGCGAAGATAAAGGGTGCGATCGCAATTATCATATTACAGCCGTCCGGCTATCTGTCCATCTTGATCCAATCTCGGCTCAGGATTGGACCATATCCACGCACAAGGGTGACAAGTATTATAGTTAAAGAAAGTCGCCTAAAACTCAGAGTTCAGTTTTGGCGATATTTTATGAATTAGTCAACCTTCTCTGTCTTGTAGTTCGATCGTCCCCACTGTGTCACGTCAGTGTGAACAATAACCTTCCAACGCATGAATTGGTCTGAACCATGTGGTAATACCGTATCGCGTCGTCTGCCAGCGAGCAAAACCTCCTAAGAGGTCGTTAATTCGAGGATTAGTCATCTTCACCCCTCTACGCTGTCGAGATTGCGAACAGCTGGGATCGCATATGCAAGGGTCAGCTTCTTGTCTATTACCAAACAAGAACGCAAGACAAGATGTGTGACCCACTCAGCATTTCTAGTTAAAATGTTTATAATGAGGAAAGTAATCGGAACCACTCTTCTTTGGGTCAAACTATTTTGGAAACAGTCCTCGGAAGCAGAAAGTTGCCTGTGATCGATGAATTAATAAGGGTCACATTGTTCACGTTCCATAGCTTCTTACCCTCGTAGGAGGATGCTCTGGCGTTTTCCACTTAGAGGTAAATTAGGATTTCTGCTCGTTTTCAGTTGCATTCGAGTGGTCTCAGTAGAGAAAACTGGTAACTCGGTTGACTTAGGAAACAACTTGGGTTCTCTTTCAAGCTTTTTTTTGTGAACAGGCCACCCAACTCCAGGATACAGAAACTTAAAGAAAAGGATTGCAGCTTTGGCTGGTTTTACAGACGTCGATGCATTTAGATATGCTAGAGTACTCCCTAGGAACCGTACAGCAAAGTTAAGCTATGAAGGATTCTGCTCATGGAGTGAACTGAACAATGCTTTCCTCGCAAAAGTTTTTGGGTTATGGTTTCCCTCTATATCTTCGCTTCTGAGTCTGGAACATGTGGTGGTTGATTTAGACATGGTCAGGCCTGAATGCATTTGCAGGGCTGGTCACTTAAATGCCCTATATAAGGCACACCGTTTTTCTATGCGCTTTTTCCTCCAGCTCTCCAGTGAGTTATTTCTGTGAAACCAATGAAGCGATTGCGANTGATTTAGACATGGTCAGGCCTGAATGCATTTGCAGGGCTGGTCACTTAAATGCCCTATATAAGGCACAATATAAGGCACACCGTTTTTCTATGCGCTTTTTCCTCCAGCTCTCCACTGAGTTATTTCTGTGAAACCAATGAAGCGATTGCGAAAGACTTGATATGGAAGTGTCGATAAAGCTTTTTGCTGACTCCCCAATTCCGGTAGGAAATCAACAAACAAGACCACTATGACACCATAAAAGTTCTCTCGATTCATAAATCGGAATGGTTTTGTTGAAACCCCTTCTTCAAAACTGATTACTTGAAATTCGTTGAGCCAATAGTTTAGGTATCAACAGTAGAGGGCAATAGTTCGAAGTTAGTAATCAAACTGGTGCCTTCCTGTTATTTCTCCAGTCATGCGCACCCATATGTTTTTCCTCGAAAGCGTCGTGGTACCCCGTTCGATGCAGGGCCAGATTTGCGCAACAACGGTTCAGTCATGCGAAGTGCGGCGTGTCTTTTACTCATTATTCAGATTTCACGATAAAGACGTGATGATTCGATAACGGTACGATGAACCTTGTCTTGATGTACCGCACTGTTGTGGCGAAAAAGTAGTAGAGCGAAAAGTAAGCGTGAAAGAAGGGGTCGTAACATCGCATTGGTGCTTACTCATAGATCTTAATTATTACTAAAAATGCCTTATTTGACGTATTTTCTTTGATTCTAAGTACTTTTAGACTACTTGAAAGTGCGCAAGCGCCGATCACTTGATCGACATCCTCCGAAAGATGCCAAAGCTTCATTGAAATCACCTAAAAAGGCCCCTCCCAGCAGCCCATTCAGGTCAGTTCCTTGATTTCCTTGAACCGAGCCTATCTTGAAACCATCGTCCTTTTAGGTTTGCCGCGGAAGTTGAGGGTGGTGAAGCGAGTGACTCTGCCAGGAGTGCATCAAGCAGTCCACCGAAGAGTCCTAGAAAACGTCCTGCACAAAAAATATCAACACTAAAGTCGCCAAGACTTCCGAAATTGCGTGCTCATGCCGTCTCAGACCAGTAGCTCCGCTTTTTGAGTAGAAGATTTATGTATATCCGGGTAAGTTAAACGAATTAGTCAAGTTTTCTGTGGTCCCTAACAAAATTGCGGGGCCTTTTTTCTGATTGAACCACATTTTTTATCGCTTCAAGCACAAGTGTCAGAAAATACGAATGTATTGCAACGTAAAAAATTGTAAACACATGATGACGATTCGAATTGAATGGGATGTAGTAATCAGCTGCCTACTGCCAGTAACGATGCCCTGCTGTGATACAAACGGTTAGTTATTGTGTCCGCTTGTCCATGCGTCCATAGATTTCCGCCGTTTGAACCAGCCGTTGTTGATGGCTACTATGTTGGACAGATAGATGTCTGTCATTCATTAATTCACTGGGGGACCAAGCGGGCAGCGGTCGCCAAGCACGGATAGGCTTTTAATCTCATTTTTATGACTATGGATGAGTTGATGCCCCGACTTGCCTCGGTTTATGAGGAACTGGTTCCAAAGAGTTGCAGAAACTTGACGCGATATCTCTGATCCATCGAATCTACCATTTTCTAGAGGAAGATGCCGACAATAGAATACGGCAGTATTCGGCAGTGGTCTTTGTTTGCACCTAGAGATAAAGTGACTGTTCGCAGTAGAGCTTTGAATGTTCCGCCGGCTTTGTGCAGCGCATTTGTCGCAGAAGTGGAATTGAGTCGGATGTTGATCGATGGCGATCCAGTGTTCGCCATTCAGTAGCGGATCGGACCCTGAAAAGTTGCGTTTCGAGTGGTCTGACTAGCTTGATCGACATGTGGACAAGTCATTTAGATCGAAAGCACTGGTGGGTTTAGATGAGTTACACCGAAATTCGAACACCGTTCGTTTCCAGTAGCGTTTCTACAGTACAACATGTGCCGCAGCTACCCATTAAGTCGCAGCTGTTGCACGTGTGTTTGTTTTTTGTTGCTGGTGGTTGTGTTTTTCATCAGACTCCGTTTTGCTCCGTCGAGTAATGAGGGATTAATCTACAGTTTCGATTCTTATTGCGCGTCGAGGCCACGTAACTTAGCAAGCATGGGTTCGGAGGGATACTTTATTGCTCAAGATAAAGTCATCGAAATCGGGTTCAATCAGTTCTGCGCGTTGTTTACGTCTGTCCTTGAAAATGAAATGGAACAACTTGACGTTCCAACGGTAGCTGTTTCTTCTGTTACTTTTTCATCTTTCGGTAACATGAAGGAACTGACGGCGAATTGATCCCAGTCCCATTGTGGAACAATAGTCGTTCGAATAGTTGAAGAAGAGTGGCGGTACGGTTGTCTAAAGCTTTCTCTGAGTGATGGGAAATGAGATTCGAGGCTAGTTTCTTCCCGATAGGATTGAATGTTGGCAGTAATCATACCGTATAGGATTCCTTGTGAGCCAATCAACAAAAGGTTTGAGTGGGTCGTCGAGTTCATCTTCTGATTGAATGGCTCTTGATTGTTTTAAGCGATTCTCGCTAAAAATCTACAAAAAGGTGGTTTCCTGGCCTTTTTCCTTTGGTGCTTTCAAAGTTGAGATGTGTTTGTTGTTTTTGATCTTAAACTTTTGACGAATTATTAGAATTCTGGCTTATGACGCGTACAAACTATCTCAGAAATGTTTCGGTTCGAAAATTCCTTCTTTAGGGTTTGTGCCAATGGTTGTTATATAAGGGATTGATTTGCTTGGGTACTGTAGGGGAAGTTATTGCGCCCTGAGTAGGTTGAGTCGGTAGAATTATATCAGAGACTTTCATTAGAAATAAGAGTTGCGGATTAAGGTACATTCAAAGCAAGGCCTGTTTGTTGACATGCAGCATTCGCCTTCTCCTATCGATGTTATCAGATTTTTTTGTAGGCCGAGGTCGTGAAGTTACGCAATGTGGTCCCGTTTGGAGTTATGTTGCATAAATCATTGCTATATCATTAGCGCGATGCCTTCTGTATACCCACTGAGGGGAAAGAAGAACTAACTCATAATAAAAAGATTTCAGCGATTCGCAAGGTTTCTGTGAGCGAATTTCGTGTACAGCACTACGTCATATCCATGAGTCTCGTCCGTATATCTGGAGTGTATAGTCGCCGTCAGTCGCCTTACGATGACAAGATGCTCTATCAGTTTAAGAGAAATCTTATTGATCTTGTTATAATAATCGTTATATGCATGTATATAATTTGTTTCAAAGGTAGAACTGTTACAGAAGTAAGAATCTGATGAAAAGTGACTGACTGTAGGGTTTTTTGTTGGATCTGAGCGTTTTTTTTTTCACTTCAAGTATTGTGTTGCCCTACGGTTGTTGGCTTTTCTCCAGTTTCTCCGAAAAACATAACTCAAATGCTGTTATCAATCTTGTTCCCATCAAGGGTTCGTGCACATCACTTATTGTTCAGATTTTCTTATCATTCCATATAGAGTTATGCGCCGTTTAGTGAATTCTGATCAAATAAAAGGTTAGCAGAGTTCGGGCAGCAGGCCAATATTCTCAATTCGAGATGTTGTATCATACGTGTCCTAGTACATTGTTGGGATTTAGAAGTATATTTTACAAAAACTCATTTGAGATTCAGAAGGGATGAGTGTTTTTTTTTTGCTTCTAGCTTTATATTAACTTAGCACTTTCTCCAGGCACAAAGTATTCATGGTACTCGAACCCTGCGTGGTAATTGAGTTGGCTGAGGTAAGTTAGTTGAGCGTAGTAGATTTCGAATCGGTATACTGTTAGTTATATATTCCTTCCGATAGCAAAGATCGAAATATTGCATGCACAGTGAAATTTATGGGATACTTTGCAGTGGAATTTCGGTTCTTCCGTCCTTTTTTATTGATCACATCGGTTTAGGTAACTAAGTACTTTTGCCGTGAAATATCCGCCCTGATAAATTCATCTGATCAAAACAATTGCTAGCCATTCGATTACTATTCAGGGTTATAGGGGAGTAGAAACCATTATTTGACCTATTCAGTCAGTGGTTTATGGAGGCTACGCATACGCGGTTGATCAATGTATCTATCCTCCCAGACGATTTTGGTTCCAGTAAGCCGTACGTAGGGATGGAAAGGCCTAAAGGGAATAGTTTTCGATGGTAGGAGCAATGACAGAGAAGGGAGCTTGATGAAGAAATGAAAAGTAGTAATTTCAAAAAACTAAAACTTCGATTTTTGGTTAACCTTAGTATGCCACACGATGTAGCGGAATAAAGAAACTGCCTCTCTCTGATCAAATGGAGACTCCTCAAACATTTTCAATCTGATATGCACACTATACTTTGCAATACTGCCCTCTACGATGTTCCTGGTTTAGTTCGAATTCTTTTTTCTTGGCAGAGTGATATTGAAAAGTTTGGGTCCGCAACGTCCCATGATTTACCACCACCTGGTTGTTCCCTCCGATATCAACTTATATGGCGTGCTCATTTCAATTAGTGCTTCTACGGAAACCTTTTCAATATGAACATTATTTAGGTGAAGATTAAGCAACTGTGTGGGGCCTTATTAGAGCAGTACACCTTTTCCAAACTGTAGTTGGGGTTGTTAATAGGAATATTCACATTACAGACCGTTATTCGCCTTATTTGAATTTTCGAAAATAAAATTCTGCTATGTAATTTGAATATTTGAATTTGCCATTTCCTTTTCCCAGTGAAGTACAATCATTTATGAATGTATAGCGTGAAGTTAATAATGGTTGTCGGTGGTCTGTAAATGTGAAATCGTGGTCGGTGAAGTGTCTGATTGAAAACGGTGGTGTATAATTGAAAACTGATTATTCATATGGATATAATCGGAAACTAACCAACCCTACTATCCTAGCGAGTCACGATGACAACCAAAAAGTTCTAAAGAAAGTACTTTCGACTTCTGCTTTTAAAGCTTCTTGTCGTTCTGTCCCAAAAGGTGATCTATGAATTATTGGAATTTGGAGAGGGAGGTGATATATCGGTAGGTAATGTTGCTGCCTCACGTATGATCTAAGAATCGAATCTTACTGGAGTCGTCGCTCGGCAAGACGGTTTGGTACGGAATTCGCCGGAAATTGGGAGAATTGAATACCCTGGCTTGTGTGTGAAGTTGTGTTGGTTGAATCCTTCCAACTGCTACCACAGCTCCAGATTGGAGGCATACCGATGATGGATACTTCTTCGGTCTTTTTCCAACGCGTTTCCTAATTATTTCGTTCTTGAAATTTGGATTATTTGAGTCCTGGCGTATAGTAGATAACCTCGTTTGAGCCAGAGCCAATTGAGAAAGAAGGGCATTGAAATGTTTCGAACCTTGGAAGAAGAAATAGGTTTTCTAGCGTTGCT